TTATGTGGAAACTCTTTAGGAAAAAGCAGCCTTCTGCTCTTAACCTTCTCTGATACAGAATACTGACATTCAGTAAATGTACAGGGAAACTTGATGATCTGTTTTCTCATGCATGGGTGAATAGTAAATTACTATTTCCACCTGTTACCCCTTTTTAAGCCTTGTGCCATTCATGATTTGCTGAGTTTATAAGTCAACGTGATGAGGTTGGCTGTCACAGGTGTAAATTGATTGAAAGGAATAATTTTAGTGTAGAAATAATTTTAGTGTAGACTTCTGCTTCCTGCTGTTCTGCTTTTGCAGAGCTGACAAGGACAAAACAAAGGATTCTTTCTGTGTGTGGAGGTTCTGACAGGAGAATTCCAAACTTAATACCCAGGAGGTATATACTACTGAGTGTAGCTAAATCCAGTTGTTTTTCATTTGCACCTATTAACATGTCAGGCAAAAGCTAGTGTCTTTGTCCTGGGGAGTAGTGAAAGCAGGGGTTTTAGGGTGTGCTTGGAAGGGGGGTCCTTTCATTCTTGTGAGCTGTGAGTTTATTTTGTAGTGGTGGTTGAAGGAGGAGGACCAGTTTAGGTAAGCTGTCATTCTGAACTCTTAGTTGAGCCTATGATATTTCTGTGGAACATCCTTAGGATAGTCTGTTTCAAACACTAGAGTGCTCTGCACTCATTTTCCATGCAGGCAAATGCTTTTAAGCAGGACAAAAGGAGGATAATTCTTAAGTTTTCAAGCTTTAAGATGATTGCCATGTAGGAGTTGATGACTAAAGGATAACCAGTTACCTGCAAATTATTATGTACTGCTGTATGCTTTCATGTATGGGAGAGAAGGGGAGCTAGTAGGATGAGGCTGTTGGCTTTCCATAAACTGTGGTGACTTTTGTCTCCTTCCTTTATTATTATTATTTCTCTATTTGTTTTGGTGCCTAAAGGAAATCTGTGACATGTGAAATGGAAACATGGTGAGGGACTGTTGATCAGGGAGTATAGTGACAGGACAAGGGGTAATGGGCTCAAGCAGAAGGAGGGTCGATTTAGATGAGATGTTAGAAAGAAATTCTTTACTGTGAGAGTGGTGAGGCACTGGAACAGGTTGCCCAGAGAAGTTGTGGATGCCCCCTTCCTGGCAGTGTTCAAGGCCAGGTTGGATGGGGCTTTGGGCAATGTGGTCTAGTGGAGGGTGTCCCTGCCTGCAGCAGGGGGGGTGGAACTAGATGATCTTTGAGGTCCCTTCCAACCCTAACCTGAGGGTCCCTTTCAACCTAACCCCTGAACTGAAACAATCTGCCAGTTGTTCAGGTTGCTGTTTATTAGCATATTCTGCATTTTAACTCCTAATGTACACTAACTTTTTAATGTATTCTTAATGAAGCACTTGATTTTTTTCACCTTTCTGTATTGAAAGTGTAGCTATTGAGGGGGGGTAATACATTGGAGATGCAGAAGCTTACAGAAGTACTTTGTGTGCTATAGTTTTGGTTGTGTTATGTTCTTGCTTGCTACAGGAAATGATTAAAAATCAGAGTAAGAAAAATTTGAAGTCAGAAATGAGGATGAATATTTTCAAATGAGTCAATTTGTTCCCATAGCTTACTAAGATTTTGTCAATCCTCTGGTATGAGGAGGTCTTAAACCAGACTCTCTCTAAAAGTGTTCTGGCTCAATAGCAGATTACTGAGCTCAGTGTTGGGAGTATCTGGGTGAAACTCGCCAGTGTTACGCATGAGGCCAGAGTAGATGCTTACAGTAACTGAACTGTGCTTGTGTTCAGATGACTGTCAAACAATGGCTTCTTCACTGCTAAAATTTCAGAGGAATGTCTGCAATGCTGCAAATAATCTCATTAAGGGTGCTGGGATTTCAGAACTGTCTGGCTTACCTGGGCATTAACTCTCTTGAGAGATATGTATCTTAAAACTTATGCACAGTGTTTTTGTTTCTGTTCTCTAGAGTTGAAACTCTGGGCCTTTTTATGCCTTCTGGCAAATAATTATAAAATACTTACAACAGTATTTCATGCTTGGTAACCAGAGTTTGTTTCCTTTGTTCCTGAATAACAAAAAAATTAATGACTATTTGAATTAACATGTTGATGTAGATTCAAGGTGTTCCTACTCTTCTAATCACCATTGTCCTTTTTGCTTATCAATGCTTGGTACAGCATATCTGAGCTTGGAGTAAGGTGGTGGCAAGTAGATTTGGGTGAGAGATCCTGAGATAGCTGAAACTTCCTGATGCCTTCAAGCAACCACTGATGCCTCAAACATTTTGAAAAGGAGTCTCCCAACTTTGGAGAATTAATTAGCCCTCCAAGGCAAATCTTGTGTGGTATAACCAAAAGGAGACCTCATGAAAGAGCATGTTGTTGTTGTTTTAATTTCCTAAAGTTAATCGCATAATAGGAAGAACTCAGTCAAGCTTGTGCTTGGCTGGTTTGCAAAGAAGTGTTGCTGAATGATGAACAGCTTGTGAGGGATTAGTATGTTCATAGAGCAGAAAAATATCTGATGATTTGTCCTGCAGTCTCTGCCAAGACACACCTAGCAGGAATCCTTGAAGCTGTTGAAAGCAGATGGGCTAAATGTGGTATGAGCACTTCAGTTTTTCTAGAGTCTGTTCTCCATCTTACTACTTCACTATCTTGCAGGAGCTGCAGAAGTGAAGTGGTCTGGGGATTAGTTACGTACTAGTTCAGTTTGGGTTTCACACTAATTTGCTGAGCTAGGAGAGTATGGTATACATTATTAAACTGAATTCTTGTTTAATATTCTGGTGGTGACATAAGAAATAAGTAAGGGAAGAAAGTGAGCGTGGGCTTTGTAAAAGATGAGGCAGAAGGTAGTGGGGCAAGGAAACAAATCTTAAGCAAGAAGAGGGGACTGCATGTCTGCAGCGACAAAAATTCTTTGTGAATGTGCTGACTTTGGAGCAGCTGCTCCTGTCCCCAAAAAGAGTGCTAATGTGTACAAGAAGCTGCAGGTTTAAAGTGAGTAGTGCAAAGTTCCCTTCCCAGTGCAAAGCTGCAGAGACTGGAATGAGTTTAAGAACTATGGCCGCACTTCTTTAATGCTTTTGATGTCCAAAAAACATGGTGGCTTGATTGTTGGTCCACTTAGTACTACTGAAACCATGGTTACTGGGCAGATAAACTGTGCTCTGAGCTTTAATTATTGCCTGTGCCATGATTATCTGCCTGATGCTAGATAAGTATAAAGATCTACCTGGTACAAACAATGCAGATTTTGACAGAAGGGCACAGAAGGAAAAAAATTTCATAGTGATAGTGGACTGTGTGGGGTGTTTCCTCAGTAGCACTATTGATGCTTTTTACCCTCAATAACTTAGGAGTCAGCAATTAAATCATTTGCTCTTGTCCAACAGAACTTTAGTTCTATTTCCCCATAATTTGCAACATGGGGAATTAATGAGTGAGTCAGAAGGTGAAAAGTAAATATTTATTAAGATCAAATAATATGAGCAATAAGAAGCAAGGCCTTTCTATTAAATATCTTTGGCAAGATATTGAGGAATTGGCTTGCTCCTCTTGTCTTGTGAAGAAAATTAAAGTAAATGCTTTAACTATTATTTCTGTGTGGTTAAAATATGAAGGGATAATTGAGTCCAGGCTTTACAGATGGGCAAACATATGTTTCAAGTAATCAGGTTTTCAGCTTTGTCTGCTGTGGAGTTGTGTAGAGATGATAGATGACCTGAATTTTTTTTATTTACTTAGTACAGATTTTTTTGTTAATTTGTTTGAAGCATGTACAAATCAGTAACATCCTGGAAACTATCACTGATGTCTGCAGGCTACACTTACTGGTTTCCAAGGTATGTGTGTTTGGGGGGAGTGAACAAAAATAACTACCTTGGGAATAACTCTTGGGGCAGGGAGGACAGTGTGTCAGTACTGAAGCATTCGGTTATAAACTGTGCCTTCATAACATAGTTGTGCCAGGTGATTTCTCTGGTAAAGTTTAAATCCTGGTTGCATTATTGACATACTGCATGACTGTAGTGGCTTAGTTTTGTGTTTGTGAAGCAAAAATGATGATACTTGCCCACTAGGACAGCCTGTAAACTAACATTTTGTACGTCTCCTCATGGACACTGATGTGACAGCCTTTCTAGTTTAGTTCCTGTTCTGGTAAGTGGAGCTTTACCAGCATTTTCCACTAACTTGCCTTATCAATTTCCAAATCAACTGACAAAACTTGCAACTTGTTTTTGGAACACTTATCTGAATAGAGCATCTAAAATAGTTGTAATGAAGATTAGTTTTGTTATGTTTTTTAAATGTGTACAGCAAACTTGAGGCTTCTAAAGCACATTCTGACTGAAGAAATAACCTTATGGAGAAATAATCAGCTTGCTTTTGAAGATAATTACCAGAGTAACTTAGTTATTTCCAAGTGAATTTTTGTGTGGTGTTCTGAATTGAGAGGTCTTTTCCATAGCATCATGAAGATTTCAATTGGAGGCCTGATCTGTCTTAGATGTTAGAAAAAGGATGTTTCTGTAGGGCAGAGTGGATAGGGTAGTTCTCCCTGTCTAGTTTTTCAATGCATTTGAAAAAAATCTAAAGCTGTAAGACAGGGAAACTACTAAGTTTCTTGTCAGTGCTGTGGTTTCTTTCTGGGATTGTTGTTTGTCTGTTTTTGTGATTTAAAAAGTAATTACAGGAGTAAGGACTTGCTTGCATTGTGATAGCTTAGGTGACCGAAAGTGGCCATAGTAAGTACTCTTACTACATCCATTGCAGATGAACACTTTTGCTCAGGGGTAAAGACTGATTTAAAAGAAAATTGTTTGGATCCCCATGCAACTGAGGAATATCTCTGGGGATGGAGCAGTAGAGGGGAGAAGGTACATGAAAGCTGTTGTTCAGATGGAACTCAAAGTATTCCAGGCTGCCAGCAAAAACTGTTTAGCCTCAAAAAAAAAAGAAACTGATTTGAGTGGAAAATCCTTACTGATTATTTTTTCTCCCTTAATCTTGCAGCTGATTGCAATGCTGTTCTTAAAGCTCTACAGCCCATTTTTCAGGAGCAGGGAATGACAGAAACAGTTCATAACTGGGAAGACCATGGCTATTTAGCAACCTACATTAAAAAAAATGGCAGGTGAGTGGATTTTCTTTTCCTTTCTATAGATTATGTACCCACTGTCCTCCCTTATGAATATTTCTTTCTTCCTGTATTGGATTTCCTGGGGTGCAGGCAGGGCAAACTGTTCTTTTAACAGCCTTGTGTGCAAAGCAACTAAAATAAAGCAGAATACTGTTGATACTCTTGTGTATGTCCTCTTGCAGTTGGGATATCAGAACAGTTGAATTGGTCAATCTGGGCTGTATCGATGCAGTAACATTGCATGGTGTCTTGATCTTGGGGCCAGTCCTTCCAGATGCAGGACAGACAGCTTGAGTCAGTTTACGTATTTGTAATTTTTCTGACAATTGAATCTCTGTTCAAATCTAACCTTAGCATGTGAATGATGAAAGCTTTGTCTTGTATGTGCTTTTAAACGCTTCATTATATGCTTCAAATTCTCAAGCAACTACTGAAGTAACAGCATGACAAATGTGGTTGGTGTCATTAGTGACACTCACATAAGCAGCATCTACTGGGATAAACTGGTAAGCAAAACCACATTCACTTTACTTCCTGAAGCTGCTTTACAGTGTCAGGGTTAGTTAATTACTGCATATATTTATCTAGCCTATTTATGAGTAACTACCATAATTATTGCATTAATTTGTTATTCAGTTGCTTGTTCTTGACATCTACTGTGGCAGTTGCTGCTTTTGTTCTTTTCAAAATCTCTACTTCAGTGTTCTTCAGGATTGGAGTTAAGCTAAGTAAGTTTTAATTTGTTGACTTGCTTCTCCTCTTGGGTGTCCTGTTAAGCAGCTCATTTGACCATGCTCTTAACATATGAGAACTGCTTAAGGATTTTCATGCTTTCTCTGAGAGAGCAAACAAATATGTCTAGAAGGAAAATGACCTCCTAGGTGAGTGTGCCTGCTGGAATGTGTGTGTTAACTATGTGTGAACATACTCTTATGTGCAGCTCTACATCTATGTATTTTATATATAAAAAAGTAGTGTAGACAAACTATACTGGTACACTTAGGGCCTGACTTAGTCCAATGTTTTCATCTTTACCAATCATGCTCCATGAAGCTCTTAGTATATTTCAGTCAGCTTTACAAATGTGACACTGGCTTCTTCTGATCAAAAATATTTTTGATACTTGATGTGCTTAGAAAAATGTGTTAGTCTTCTCTTGTACAGTCTTTCTTATTATGTCTTTAGTTACTTGTACTTTTATAGTCTTCCTGAACAATTTTATCAAGATTCCAGTTCTGGATAACCCTTGGTTTTTGAGGTCAGTGAAAAGATAGGCAAGTTGGTAACTTACTGGTCTGGTGCTATCCTTCCTCTGTATTGTATTAAGCTTGTATTTAGTTCCCCTAAAAAGATAATATCAAGGATACACAAACTCTGAACAATTAGAATGTAAAATATCTAAAAGTAAGAAGGACTTAAAAGATTTAAAGGTTGTCTGTCTTTGATTGCATGGCCTCATTTTGCATTCCTGTGTTTCTTTGAGTCTGAAAGTGGCATGAGATGTGAATTCTCAAACAGGCTTTCCCCTTTGCAATGTCATCTGATCATTCCTCTTAAGACAGCCCCTTCTAAAGGAGCAATTTCCAGAGTTAAATTACCTGTCTTTTGATGTGTTCCAGGAACTCTTTAGAGAATAGTCTTCTGTTGTATAACTTTTCCAGGAGATTACTGAACTGATGTCTATAAGTCTCTCTGAGTGAGGTCCTTATAAAACTCACAATTTTGAAGTAACTAACCTGATTGCTCTTACTACATTGTCAACTGAAAATACCTGTTGCTGCAAATTCCACTGTCTTCCTCAAGAGCTAGAGTATAATACTCAGAATCTTTGAAGGGGGAAAAGAGGATGTAAAATTTGACCTTGCTATGTAGGAGAGGTGGGGAGGAAGTCATGGGAAAGACAAACCTGTGCAGTGGTGTACAGTGCACTCATGGTAACAGAAGAAAGGTGGTCAAGTTGCTAGTTTCCATAGTAAACTAGAGCCCCTGTGGGGGTGGGGGGATATCCTTGTTGCTCTGAGTATAAGCTTGGGGATTCAATATATTAGAGAACTGTAAATCTACCTCCAGTCATTTTTTGATTTTTTTTCCACACTGTCCTCAAGCAGATAGTGTGGGGGGGATGACTAGAGAACAGGATGCTGTTTCCTGAAAGTTGTGTAATAAATGAGCTACAGCAATTGCTGAGCATTCATGCCGACTTCTAAAGGGGTTCTTTCCTGTGTGTGTTACTGTTGTTGAGCTTGTACTTTGCAGCAACATGACACTCTGAATAACTCAGCTTTTCACTATGCTGCTAAATACAACTTAAGCTTTTGTACCAGAGGATAGTTCACAGTATTCTTACTGCTGTGGGATGATTAAGATGGGGAGGTGGGCCTAGTGACCTCCCCTCAAGGAAAGAAGGGAGGATCTGTTGTGTTGGATCTTTGTTCTGTATCTGTATATTGGGATGGAAGGGACCTCGAAGATCATCTATTTCCAACCCCCCTGCCATGGGCAGGGACACCCTCCACTA